CAGGAGGATGAGACTGGTGAATTTGATTTCCCCTAAGAGCTGCCAGGATTTCAGTAAGTGGAGTTGTGGAGAACGAAAGGGTGAAGGGATTAATTTTTCTTGCATTTCTTTGCTTTTCCTACTAAACTTCCTCCCCCACCCCCCAACCTCCCCGAAGACTATTAGTGTTAATAAACCGTCGCTTGCTTTTTATCCCAGTTCTGAGAATTTCAATTTCTCAGTCTCACATTTTGTGAGAGAAACTCTTTGGCTGTGCTTGGTCAGAGGATACATGTTATCATCTTCCCTGCCTACCATTATAAAATTATTAAACATTTATATTTTATAGGTGACTGGTGAAAAAGAAATCCTAGGGTTTTCTATCCTGAATAGTTATAATACTATTACATCATACAATCGTCTAAGTTTTATTGATGTAGAAACATTTTTTCTTATTCTGATAGATAGCTGCTGAAGTTTTACCTCCCTTCTCTTCCTGTGTAACTTATTGTTCATATTCGCATGGAATCTTACGAACACTAAGATTCTTTTTAAAAAGATGGGTTTACTACCTATTTGTTTTCCAAGGCATTGGTTACACACGCAGGTTGTACTAAAACAACGTACAATAAAACAATTCAACATGTGACTATGAACTCATTATACATCTGGTTTACATGGGTTTATTCTAAAGCTTTATGTAAGTATTTCTTTAGTACGGGCAGCTCTTATATTGATAACTTTCTTGAGTTTAAATATAGTCATGGCATTGCAAACTGATCTGTAACTTTCTGGTGAGCTAAACTACACGTGTTTTTTCCAATACCCTTCACTACTTCCCTTGCTGACAAATTTCTTTAGAGGCAGGAAAATCCATGGTTTTAAAAGTATATATATTTTTAAATAATGTGTGCATATATATGTATTAGCTTGTTCTATAGTCTTCCTGAACTAAAGCTCAGATTTTTATTTATTTCTTTTTCCAGTTGTAATGAATGAGTCACTTCTGTTTATAAGGATTTGGTTGTTTACTCTGACAAACCCTTGATAGGAGACACTCAACAAGATCTCAGTAAATCAATTTGTTCAGGATCTATAAGCATCTCATTAGCATTTCTTTGCAATGTTCATTCTAAGCTCAGCTGCAGCTGTTTAACACACTGAATCTCTCAAAGATTTCCAGGATTGTAAGCATATGTTTTGAGATTGTGCTTTAAGTGGAGGAATTTTGTGGGTTTTTTTTCTTCTTTTCATGGCTGCTGTTAACAAAGATCTTTTTGAATTGAATTGCAGGCTCTGTGTCTATAATCTTTCCCATTTTTGACTGTTGAAATCTTAGTTGGAAAAAACATTACTGCTGGAGTGGCGTTGACTGAAAAACTAATTCTTCTTCCCGTCATTCTTTTTATTTCATCATTGCTGCGAGGACAGCACTCACATTTTAGCTGTAGTTTCTGAAATAATAGTTAAAAGGAATCATAATGCTTTTACCTTCAACAAATCCCACACGGAGATGAGTGATGTCATTGTCTTCGGGACTTGCAGCACAACACATGCAGAATTTACATGGCGCAGGCTGCAAGTCGAATGATAATGCTTTATTTCAGATTGACTAATGTGCCTTGCAACACAAAAGGAGGCCAGGACGACCTGCAGCTCTTAATGATTGATTTTCAATACAAATCTCTTAATAGTCTATTTTAAAGAAGTGTAGCAGAAAACTAGTTGGATACCAACATTTCAAAAGGTAGCGAATGGTAAGTTATATCTCTAAGATTGTTACGAGGGTAAGTAATTCCTGTTTTTATTTTCAT